AAGCGTAGGAGGACTTCGGTAATCTCTTCCCTTCTGAAGTTTTTAATAGTCGATACAGAGCCATAAATATAGACTCAGAAAGCTAAAACATAAAGTTTAGGTACATCTTTAGTAGGTCTTCAGCTATGTAACTGATATGCTTGAGTCTTTTCACTGACTTTGAGTTTTCTTGATTTGATGTTCTAACAAACTGCTAAACAACTGTAGTATAGCATTTAGCTTATTATAGCTAAATAATAATTACATATAGGGTGCAGTGCAAATGTATGTCTAGAGCCATCCCTCATTTCTTTACACACACACACAGCCACACACCCATGTCCACCACAAACACATGGAAATAATATCATATATATATATATTATAATATATATATATATATATATATATTAGGGGTGCAACGATACACAAAATTCACGGTTCGGTTCAGTTCGATACTTTGGTGTCACGGTTCGATATTTTTTCGATACAAAAAAATGTTCATGCTTTTTAATTTGTCATTTATTAAAATTATAAATATATATTTTAACTCAAAAGTACAGTTTTTAAATTTAATGTTGCTGAAACAACAAAGTAAATCTATCTGATCGAGAAATCACTCATCTTTGGAAAAGAGAGTTTATTACAGAGAAATGGCTCTTTCCAAAATAAAAGCTATACTATACGCTTCTTCTGGGCTATATTCTCAGCAGCATATTAAACATATCAGGTCCCCATAAGGAGAATCATGTGCTAACGGCTGTCTAAATGACTCGGGTAAAGTTTGTAGCATGCGTGCTTGTTGTTTTTGTCTGCTTCCACTTGTCTTTGCACTAGGATGATGTCGGCGTAAATGTGCAGTCATATTCGTTGTGTTCCCACTAGTGCTGTCAGCGTTAATCTCGTTGAAATGACCTTAACGCCACAACACGGCAAATCTCCGTTAACGAGCTACCCCGATCGCCCCGTGCATGGGGCTAGACGGCCAACACGTTAACGAGCTAACTGCGCTAACACACTAGTTCCCACCCATGTAATTGAGCATTGCGTGGCACATCCAACATACTGTTTTACTTTAGTCCATGACGCGCTTACCTTCAGGGTCATACGTCACATGAAAACCAAAATAATTCCAAACGCCAGATCTGAATGAGGGTGGGGGAGGTTCAATTTGCCATGTTGCAAGGAGAGCTTAACTTCTGGTCGTGTCCAAATTCATGGGCTGCATCCTCCTGAGGACCCGGCCCATGTACCGCAAAGGCCGGGTCCTCAGGGTAGGCCGGAAGTAAACAGCTGGGGAAATTGGACGGTCTAGCCTTCTGATTAGCGTCACCTTCTGATTAGCGTCACTGCTGTCTTGGTGGAGTTTAATAAACTCGTCCGTCTGCTCCTTGCTATCTAAAATATAACAGGACACTGGCGTAAATTCTCGACTGTCTCATACTTCTGTTTAATCAGTTTTCTGTTTGACAATTATTCAGCTGTGTGAAAACCACCCGAGGGATTAATAAAGTTTTATTTTATCTAATCTAATCTAAAAACTTTAATCTCAGCCAAACCGACTGACTCACGAACAAATAAAACACCGAAAAAGCCAAACAATAACATTTTTAGGTTGTCTAAGTGACTTATATATTACGTTTAACCTGAGTAGCGAAAGTCTGCGGTGATCTGTAAATGATGTACCGGGAGTTGTGCCGTTCTCGGTGGCTTCAGTGACCCTCGAGCTCCCGACTAGCTATTGAGCTGGTGGGTAGCAGACGTCTCCGAAAACGTCGAAGCACTTTTGCAAATATGCGATATCTCGATAAACCGAGCACATATTTGATGTTTACACAGGTACTTTCTCACCTGAAAATATGTTAAAAGTTTATTTTGTGACCCAGAAAGATTAGTAAGAGTAATTTTACAACTTCGTAGTGGCCGCCATTGTTGGAAACTGGAGTTTGGCTGGGCCGCGCTATGAATTCTGGGATATGGTAGGCCACGAAGGACACACCTGACCCATCCTTCAAATTCAGGGAAAAGGAGGAAGCATTTGTCGGCTGCATTCGAAGGAGTCTACGGCTGTTTCCCAATTCAGGGTCTGCACGCTTGAAGTACGCGCACTACGCGTACTACATACGGTGCGTACGAGAAGTGCGGAAGTGAGAGGTTGTGAAAGGGAACGGTCTAGCCTTCGTCGCGCTGTTCAGGTTGCCTAGCAACCATGATACTAACTGCGAGAAACGTGACATACATGAAGGAGAAAGGAGATGTGACATAAATGAAGAAGAAAAATGTTTTGTTGGTCATTCATTTTTGTCATGACATCACTTTGATTAGTTGAGTATCTGAGGCTGAGACCACAGGACTGTAAAACATGATTGTTGGGCTTCATTTCTGTGCTGAACAGTCATTTAAGATTAGTTAGTAAATAACAATTAGTTAATGTTGTTCATGAGACTAAATCATCTCACTGTGGTAATGTAAATATAATATGGCCAATATTATAGTATTGTCAGATTATTATGATATATATATATACATGTAAGGCTTATAAAACAATTAAATAAATAAAAATACTAATTAATTATATATATATATATATATATATTTATATATATATTATATATATATTATATATATTTATGTATTATATATATATATATATATACATATATATATATATATATATATATACACTCATACTACATATACACACACAATATATATATATATATATACATATATATACATCAGATACATATATACACACATATACACACACATATATATATATATATAATATATATATATATATATATATATATATATATATATACTATATACTACTACTACATATATATCATATATATATATATATATACATATATATATACATAATATATATATATATATATAAATATCAATTCTTGTAGTTAAGGTCGATATATAAATTTGAAGTAAGAGGCTTTAAAACCAAGTACGCTGAAAGTACAAACATCACTAATGTCACACAACTTTGCCGACATGTGGCCAACAGCAATGTTTTAATGTTCTTCATTATTAAACATTCGCACATAAATAAGTGACATCATATTCAGTACTTACTTTTGACAGTTCACTCTTCGGCCGCTCCCTTCTGCCGTATTTTGCGGCAAAATTATCCACACCCACCGCCGCGCTATGAATTGTGGGATATAATGGGACCACGAAGCGTGCACTCGGACCACGCTTGATATTTGGGGAAATCGACGGCGCATTTGGAGTATGCATTTGAAGTACACTTCGAATTGAGACAGCCGTCGTCCGTGGCGGTGACGTAACCGCACTTAAAATGCGGTACTTCAAGCGTGCAGACCCTGAATTGGGACACAGCCTACGAATTTGGACAGCCTTCGGCGCGTCGCTGTGATGTAATCGGTCTACAAATGCGGCCTCAGGAGGATGCAGCCCATGAATTTGGTCTGTCTCGCTAGCTTGCCCTGCGCTCAGTGAATCTGCATTCGACTACTCGCCAGGCTGCACTGTCGAGCGCAGATCCACTGAGCGCTCAGACACAGACAGCATCGTCAGAAGAAAGTTGATAAAATAAATTAAAAATTTTGTATTGTTCGATACATATGCGTACCGAACCGAAAGCACTGTATCGAACGGTTCAATATTGATACGAATATATAGATATATATATATATATTTGGAAAGACCGTTATTATTTTTAAACATATCCTGAGCTTTCTTAAGAACGTCTTCTTCTAATGTCTTTGAGGACATCCTTAAGAATAGCTCTCCAGGCTTCTTGAGGGACATTCAAAGCTCATCTTAAGATATTAGTTGCCTTATGTTACATTTTCTGTCAATTGATCCTGCAATGCTTCCACAATGCTCAGGTGCGGACTCTGAGGAGGCCAATCAATGACTGATAGTGTTCCACTGAGTGATTTTCTATCTCGGTACGCTTTTACTGCCTCACTGCAGCCCCAAACCATGACAGAAGCACCAGTATATTTTACAGATGGCTGTAGACACTGACTATTGTAGCTTAATCCTGAACACCTCTGTACATACGGACAACAACTTGAAGCAAACATATTAAATTAGGGATTCATGACTCTACAAAACTGTTTGTATGCTGCTGACTTTTCCTTCCAGTTTTTCTTGTTCCTCCATTTGTCCAGTTTCCTCAAATGTGTTAAGGACACACTGCACACCATGCTGAGATATACCACATTTTTACTTTATAGTCTTTTAGGAATCACCTTATTGAATCAAAAATGGTCTTTTATACATCAAACTGTGTTACCTTTTGCATTTTCTATTGATTAAACTAAAGAAATGGAAACAAATTATTTTTTAGGGCGCCTCTGTCAGTGCGCCCCAGGGCAGCTGTGGCTACAATGTAGCTTGCCTTCACCAGTGTGTGAATGTGTGTGTGAATGGGTGAATGACTGAATGTAGTGTAAAGCGCTTTGGGGTCCTTAGGGACTATTAAAATCGCTATACAAATACAGGCCATTTACCATTTACCATTCGCAAGAAAGTATAAAAAAGTCAAGATACAACTGGTTCTTTGCTAAGATGTCTAGTATGCCAAAACTTACTTTCCATGTACTGTGGAAGTTCAGCATTTAGCTCTACATTGCACCTAAAGATAATACTTAATACATCTAAAAGTTTTGCATTTAGTTTATTTTTGCAGACAAAAAACTTTGCAGACAAAAGTGACAAGTATGGTATAATGGAAAATGCCAAAGTCTTGTGCTCAATAAAAGACTTACAGTCTTGCTTTAAGAAAAAAAAATCGTGGATTGCAAACTCAGCAATCTTGATAATCTCAATAATGAGTGAATTAATTATCCCCAAAATAAACAGAGCCTATTTTTGTTTTTTTAAATTGAGATTAAACTTTTGTATAAAACGCTGCATTGGACTGGAAAATCTCCACTCTGTATCATAGTAGCTGGGATTAGCAGACAGGAAAATAAATATAGGGATCGACATTCACAGGAGGGTTTTTTTGTTTTTGTTTTTTTACTCACAGCTGCCAAATTTGAGAGGGCAGGCGTGGGCATCCATGGGAAAATCCTCCAGCTGCATGGGGCATTCTGCTGATATGGTCAATCTAAGACAAAACATATATAACACAGTAAGTCACTTATAGTGTAACATGGGGTGCATCACATCTTTTACTCAGCTATCTATCATAAAGGGAGAGATACAGAATAGAAGGGACCTGAAAACACACATTGTTTGAGATATTTATTGTTTTTTAATCAGTGCTATCAGTAGGTGAAATTGCCAGGAAATTAATCACATAACAGTAAAATGGTGGTGTACTCTCATCACTTGCAAATCCAGCAACTCTCCCTTAGCACACAAGTGACAATACTGCCACCTGGTGGTCAGAGGGCTTGGTTGTTCCCCCACCAAAAGAAAAAAAAAAACTGAGGTTGCTTCAGTTTTGTTTTCTTCTGAACTGACCTTAAGGCAAACACATTTTTATTATAAACAAATGAGAGCATTAGCATGATTTGATGATGTTCATCAGTCACCTTCCACTCATTTTAAATCCTCAATTAACATAACGACAGTTTTTTTTAATGTTTTATTTGTTATTGGGTATTCACAGTCATCCGAGACATGGCGTTATCACTTCAACCGCTGTGACGACACCTCTCTGTGCCCTGAAAGAGCAGCCAGATTAATTAAATCAGGCATAAAAACCAACAACACACAAAACATAATTATTTTTTTAGCTATCTGTCCCAGATTAAATCAAATCCCTCTGGGTAGTTCCACTCTTTGCGTGATGACAAATAATAACAGCACAGCGGTGATGTGACTACAATGAGGTTAATGAGCTGAATGAAGGATAAACTAAGTGCACACAAACATACGTTTAGATGAAATGACTCGTTTTACTTGTTTTCTGCTTTAGCCGCTCATGCATACCTCAACATTAGTCACAGAGTAGCAGCTATTTTTCCTCTTAACTGAACTCTATTATAATCTTTCTGACAAATGTGTCACTGAGGATGGCGCGCAATCCACACGGGACGTGTTTTTGTTTTACGCTCCAGTACCCCCTGCCTGTACAGTATGCGGCGACTGCAGGAGGTTTCCCAATTATATCATTAAGGTGAACGAAGCAGAACAGAGTGGGACAGGAGGCCACTTCTGCACTTCTGGGCCTAGCGAAGGCGAATGTTTCGTGGCGGTGGGGGTGGGGGCTCGGTTTGCTTTCCACATCAGTGCAGTACCATCCAACTGTGTCGACACAGCTCGAGGGTTCTCTGCGCGGAAGAGGAAAGAGTGTCTTTGGGATAAATAAATGAGAACATGGCTGTCGGCTATTATACCATGTTCTAATTATTCATGTAGCCCCATTAGCCAGGATGGCTGTAAAGAGAGCAGAGTCTAACTCGGTGCCTTTAAAAGTCAAAAGCCAGGCATCTCATTGCGGATCTAGTTTAAATAACGGATTAGACTGACTCCTGTATGCCTTAAAGGCAGGCATGGGGTTGAACTTAAAGCCACGCGTCGCACAGAAGCAGACCAACACATGGCCGCTCACATAGCGATGGGAAATCTAAAGTTTCTGGTACGCCTGAGCTTGCAGAAAAGTTGGAGAAGTCGGACAACAGAGCCAGAGAGTCCAGGAGCTTTATGCTGTATTAACCACCAAGACGCAATGCCACACCAACAGTCTTGTCACACTAAAAGGCACATTTTGAAAACTTCTTGTATATCCTACAAGGGGGGGTAACCCGAAGAACCTGCTAACTCTCCTGAAACCTCACCAGCAACTGTCGGATGTTTGTGGGCTAGTCTGCCTTTGTACTGGGAACAGAAAAATCTTGTTCGGCTAAAAGTTTTTCTTGATAGAAGGAGTAAAAACTCAGAATTTGACACTGAAAGAGGCTATCTGAACTATTTTAACCATAGAAGCTAATGAAATACTTTAATATACGTTGTCCGACTTCTCCAACTTTTCTGCAAGCTCAGGCGTACCAGAAACGTTCGATTTCCCATCGCCGTGTGAGCGGCCATGTGTTGGTCTGCTTCTGTGCGACGCGTGGCTTTAAGTGGCCATCGTACAATGCTGTGATTGCAGCCATTCCCCAACTGTCTCCGAATGGTACTCATGGCCATTAATCATTGGTCTTTGATCAGTGGGTTTTGGTCAGTGGTTGTTGATCAATGGTCATGAGAATTTGCATAATTAAGATTAAGGAACTGACCTCCCAGCCCATTGTTCCTTCAGTGGGATGGTTTCAGTCATTATGCAAATGTACTGTTTATAAGGTTGGGGAAACCTGCAGTCAGCTGAGACTGAAGAAGTCACTTGGATGAGTGACGAAACGTTTCTCCCACAAAACGCTACGTCCAGATGAACAGAATCAACTTTTTGGAGATTTAATATAGTCCCTCACTCTAGTACCACAGTACTAGTTTATTTACTGGCAAAATTATGTAAGTCAGATTTATTTATACATAAACCACTGGGGAGGGTACCCTCTAAGGTACTGTCATCATACCCTTGGCAGGGGGTACTTATTGTGCCCTGTTTTATATATAACAGAGACCAGTTTTAAACAGCTGGTGACAATTTAGTAGAAACAATAAAATCATTACATTTTTAAACTATGCCCCTTCATAAACATGTGACCTCAGCCATAACCCTAAGTGCCTCAGCACTCTGGTGGATGTTAAACGCCAGAGGAAATGGTAGAAATATTTCAATTTTACAGTTTGGGACCACATATTTACTTTCTGGCCATCAGAAAAGTACATATAGATACTTTGAGGTCCACTAATTAGCCCTGCGGGTAACATCAATGTGGACGGATGGACAGGGACTTTCACTGTACCCATAATTCTGAGAGTGTTTCATAGTTATATAATCAATATAAGGTGTGAAAAATAACAAAGGAAGAACAGTTGAAAGTGTTAAAACGTAAAAAATACAGTTTGATAAGAACCTGCCATTACAATTCATATAACATATTAGTGAGTGTGGTGTTATGTTCAAATGATTAGTCAGAGAGTCTATAGGCAATAGCATCACATCAGCACAAATGATAATGGCAACTGAGCTGTACCTAATGACAATGGTGTGCAATGCACTCCCTGCGTGAGTAATACAGAGCTTCCATACAGCTGATGTAGCAGCCTATCTGGTATCTGGCTATAATGATAATAATGCATTAAGTTTGCGGTGTGCTGACAGACGTGGCATTTTAAGAATTATCCATGGAGACAAATGCATTGAAATTTGCTCTGTAAACCCGGCCGCTTCTCCGCTGAGTAATGCTTTTCAAATGATGCGGTGCGCAATTGCATTTAGAGGAGAAAACTGATGAGCTTCCATTGACACCCATGCATGTTGCTGAAGAAAAAATGCGGGGCGTGTGTAAATGTCTTATAATGTGCAGTTATGTGAACGGCAGTATGTCTGCACCTCTGTTTATTGAGTGTGTTAATCTGCTGTATACATGGGGACTGACATGTTCAATACACTGAGAGTGCAAGAAGATGTGAATAACTCATAACTCCACATACTGTGTACAATATTCAATATTATTTATGTTATAATTGGCCTTGGTGCAGGCCATGACTTCAAAAGCAAACAGTCTGAAACTGAGTGCTATCTAAGTATCTGAATCCTGAGCTACTTGTACACACTCTGACCTCCGTTTATATTTTGGGCATGTTTAGCAAGAGGATTTTCATGATTTTGTAATGTTCCAATAGAGACTAAAGCTCTTAAACAATTGACTAGTTTCTGTGACTATATATATATTTATTTTCCTTCCTGGCTCCAAGTGCTTGCTGATATGCAATGACAAAAGAGCCACAAGAAAATGAGGGCAATCTACTTATTGTAGAAGCTGTTTGTCAACCACCATTAAAAAACATATTTAAAGTTAATAGAGGCCAGAACAATCTATCTATCTAGCTCTCTATCTGGATAGATGGAGAGCTAGATAGATAGATAGGTGTCCAGCTAGCTAGCTATTGCAGTTAGCTGTTACCTAAAGTACCTGATCTGTGTTTTCGGTGGTGGTGTGTGTGTGTGGTGTGGTGTGTGTGTGTGTGTGTGTGTGTGTGTGTGTGTGTGTGTGTGTGTGTGTGTGTGTGTATAATATGGAAACCTGCACATGGTTAAGTACTGCTGGTAACGACAACCGTTCAGTTACAATCACACGATTAAAAGCAGGCCTACTGCTGCTTCTTTTCTACTGTGACAGAGGATCTGATGCCATTTTTAGATTCAACAACACACTCGCACAGTTACATTTTTTTCCATTTGAACATAAATGTACGTGTCCATACATTTCCATCACTTCACACTTACAGAGATGAACCAGTCACACAACCCTTTACTTATTAAGCTCTGAGGTTAGCATCATGTTAGATCTTACAACCTGCTTCACACCCGCAGTGTGTGTGTGCTCTTGAGGTGGTTCATGTGTGTTACGTGTGAATGTGTCCTCTTTTGGAAACGTATATATGTCACCGGCGGCTGCATACAGATAATCTGCCCTCCGTGCTGCGTTACTCCCCCTGCGGGTGTCGTTGCTATCAGATGAAGTGCTCTCATCCGTGATGGAGTCTCTGTTTAAGACCTGCAGCTGCAGTGACTTCTGAGAATGAGCACAGAATTATTTTAATGTACTGGTCGAAAGGTCACTCTGTGACCTGCTAACAGGAACATGATAATTTCTCTGTCGTAGGGGTGCTTTCACTACGCTTTCTTTCCTCATTTTTAAAGCTTAGACTACACTGGTGTTTATCCATATCTGCTAGTGGTTTAGCGCATAGCGATCACCCTTTTGGAGGTCTCTGTTGGCCTACTTTTCCTTCCTTTCTGGCTCCAACTTACCAGTAAATTACTGCCAAAAACGAGTTCACAACAAGGACGCTTTTTCATAATGAATGATTTCCCTGAAAAGAGATTTGGTCCGTGACTCTCAGCATTAGCAAAAGGGAAAAAAAATTAAAGGAATAAAAGTGTTTAAATAGGCTTACTGCTGGTATGAACTATCTCTATGAGGAATCGTACCTCTCATTGTCCACTGGATGTCAGTATTCTCCTGCAGGCTGAGTCGCATATCAATTTTTCTACATTCAAAGCTTTATTGTGTAATATTGGCCTTGCTGCTGTTGTCTGGTCTAGTATTCAGTAAATGATGAAGGACAGATAACTATGAGGTTCACTTCAGAATCCTGAGAAACCTTGAGCCTCTGTACGGCTCTGTACGGTTTTTTGATCATTTGTTCTTAGTCACGGCTCGTTATACAGGGAATCCATCATACCTCATTGTGTAAAGCAAGGTGCCGTCATCCTTGAGCCTCAGCAGCTTGTTGGGCGTGGTCATGTTGTGAGCTATAGACTTCTTGCCGTTAAGAAAGAAAGTATCTGGGGTCCAGATGTTGCTGGCCAGCAGGTTGTTTAATGGCAGCATCTCCATGGGCCCTTTGAAGCACAGGCGCTCATCCTTCCAGCTCTGACGGAAGAACACGTCTATGGTGTACTCCTAAGGCGAACAGCAAAGGGGAAAAAGATCCTGGTTGGGTTTTAAGTGAAGAAGCGCCCAAACGAAACATGTAGAAAATATAAAATCAACCTTCTTAACCTCAAAACATCCACCAGCTACTAAACCACTTGTCTTGGGTTAGGTTAGTATCATGCATGTTTGACACTGCATATGAAATCCGCCTGTTTGGTATGTGAGTCAAACGAAACCCAACCCTAAACCTAGACTGGTCACGAGTGACCTGGTGGATGTCAACCTGAGGTTAACGTCGTCGTCGCCAATGACCTCAAACCTAGCTTGGAAGTCTAACCCTGGATTTTGTAGAGAAGCAAAAAGTCCTTTTTTGGAAATAAAAAAAATAGTTTCAGATGCATGTCTGTTAAAACGGTTACATTCTTTATCCCCTGATTACAAACCTGTGGGGAACAATTTAAAAAAAGAAACATCACAGTGTTAACAGGTGCAGTTTGCATTATTAAACGGGATTAAAAAGGAAAAAATATGAGAAGATTTAGCCGTGCGCTGTGCTGTGAGTAATCACGTGCAACTGGCTTGTGTACTAGTGTGTCAGCTCAATGATTACTTTATCACTGAGGATGCTAAAGGGAACAGATCTTCCTCTGGCTGTGTGTTTTTAACCTCTCAAAGCAAAGTATCATATTTAATACACCCATTTTGTCAGTTTTTCAGATTCTACGTCATCAGTGTGATTTTTTTTCCCCTGCACAAAACCTAAATAAACTGAATAAAGGTTTCTTTTCTCACGTTCAAAATGTGACATAAAGGACAAGCTAAAGGGAAAACAGATCCTCCTGTATGTCCTCATAAATCGATGAAGACTTTTCAGCGATTGTGATTAAACACGGCGGCGTTTAAATCCATCTTGAGTTTGCTCATGTGTGAAATATCAACTCGCTTTGAGCTCGGAAAAACAAACGAGCAAGACACTAAAACAACATGCCAGCCCGCTGAATGATAACGGCGTTATCGGGCTCACATATAAGCTTTTATGGACTGTAGAAACATTCAGGTCTCCTGCCGCAATTAATCAATCAATCATGCTCCTCTGACAAAGTAGCAAGTCTGATCACTGCTGTGTCAAAAGCGTGCCAGGGATGGAGCAGGGTGTAACGGGAGATTTAATGAAAGGGGAGATTTAATGCTTTCTACTATCTAGGTAGAACCTTATAGTTCGTAGGATTAATAAAGAGATGATTCATTTCAGACAAGTTGGAATAAGTCTATGGACCGACAAGAGTGCCAAAAGGAAATAAAAGAATACATCATTAAAGAGCCTAAAACTTGGTATAGTTATAGCTGAGAATTGTAAAGAAATCATACTTAATCACTAACATTAGAAATGCAATAGGAATTTCTAACTAATAAGAAAAGACATCCCCATCCTGTACACAGTACGGCTAATATCATCCATCTATCAGCTAGTTACACTGATTCTTATACATGTCTTTGGCATTATTTCTAAATGCCGATCTACCAATAAACCACAAGCATAAATAGAGTAATTTCTTGTAAATTACTTCTAAATATGATTTTGAACAGTGGTTAAAACTACACCTTTAAACAGCCACTAAAAGAGGAATGGGCACAACCTTAACCTTCACATTAATATTAATAATGGGGACTTTTAATAGTAAACATAGAAAGAAATGAAACACAGAAATGACTACAAAGGTAAAGCAGTACTTTATCTCAAAAGAACGGCCACACCGTTCTGTTCTGTTCACTGCGACTTGCGCCCTTTTATGCTGCTCATGGTTCTTTGCTTGTAAATGTCTCAAAAGATTCTCCAATCTCCACTGTGCGCTGTGACGTCTTTCACCCATATTAATGGTGCAGAATATTAAAGGCACGGCACATACAAAACTAAAAACATCCCAGTTCTTAAAAGTGAAACCCACTGGTGACCGTTAAAATGTTCGTCTGACGTGCTTTTGAACGTGCAAGCTTTCCATTCGATTTGGATGCATAAAAGTGAGGTCCATTCACGCCTCGATCACACAGTTTCTATATTTAAATACACAGAAAAAAATTGTAGTCTTTATTCGGAGTAAATAGTTTAATGACCGTTTCATCAAAACTGAAGCAGCTGTGTTTGAGGAGTTCGGGAACAAACATCATACTATCTGTAGAAGCGATTCATTAAGTACAATTGGAAATAAATATTTAAATTAATAATTAAATATATGCTTAATGCATCATTTAAAGAAAACCCATTTAATTATTTCATGGTTGCTGTGCTGTGGTGCAACATGAAGTCATTTAAACCGTCACTGCAGCTTGTCAGCAGACCCTATCATCTGATTGGTTGCCCTGCACAGCCAGTCAAGACAGATCAATCCCAGATAATGACTGATGCAATGGACTCGGAACAGCTAGGTATCCCAGAATGCATTTCGAATGAAAACAAAAGCAGCAGATGTTACAGTCTGCTGACAAGCTGCAGTAACAGTTTCAATTATTTGGTGACGCACTGCAGCACTACAGCCATGAAATAATTAAATATGTTTTTCTTTTTCTTAAATAAAGTGAATCAATATTTTGATTATTTATGTATTCAATAAATTATTTATGCAGTTAATAAATTATTGATTGATTGATTTCCCATTTGAATGAGTTAACGACACATTTCATTCATTATTTAATGATGTAGTTATTCACTTCATTTTGGCACTCTTTGTGCTCCATACGGGCCAGTCACGCTGCATTAAAAGTTTAAATCACCCACATGAATTTTGCCTCGTGTCCAAGTAGCCAAAAGGAGCCAATCTTCAAAGACACAACTAGGACATGAGCTCACTTCCAGAGAACAGCAGGAGCCAGAAAGCAGTAGTCGTCTCATAAAATGTAAATATATGTTTCCATCTAAAAATACCGACAGTTGCCTGGATGGGCTTTGGAGACGCTTGTATGTGTGTTTGTCCACCTTAGCCAATCTCTCTCTGTAGTGTTTGCTGTGGATGAACTCACCATCTCCGTGTCAGACACGGGGCCAAAGCTGGTGACAAAAATGTTTGTCTTGATCTCTGTGACATTCTCTGTTGAGAGAGAACAGATGGAAACAGGGTTTGGAGGTTAAAGAGAGACACTGAAGAGGCAGCTCTTCACAAAAAGGGACACAAGTGAACAACCCATCAGGAAGGACGTCATAATTAATGAGCTGCTCATTATTATTTCTTCATAACTCCTAATGCGGGACTTTCTAGCATTTATTAACTACTCAAACAAGACAGGAAGTCTATGGCATCACTGCTGATAACAATCTTTACAACAGCAAATTATCCATTAGTTAATATGATTTACTTTTTCTGCTTGTTTATGACACGTGACTTTTTGCTTATTATTTATTTCTTATTGGCAGTTATCATATTATTTGCCAATAGGTTGATGCCTACCATTACCAGGTGATATATTTCCCAGATTTGGCACACCCAAGTGAAAATCTTATAATAAATGCGTGTAATTTGATTGCACAGAATGTGGCTAAAGTGCAGCCTAACCCTAACCCTATATAGGTGGACTTGGTGGATGTTATGAGGTTAATCAATTACTGATGAAATCAGTTCTTCCTATTGTTGTGTAATTCAGCTTATATACTATTTTGTCCAACCACTGTCCAGTTTCTATATCATAACGGACATAAATTCATTCAGATGCCCTGATTACAAAAATAATTTTCTATGAATATACAAATCACTAGTTTTACATCTTAAAGGTATAACATTGTGAAGCAAATAATGCTCGGATTTAATGTTAATATATGCAAATGGTTAGGATCAATTAAATCAATATTTAACAATAGTGTCAGCATTTGAACCCACCTCCCTATGCCCCTCTCTATGGCTTCAGTGTGGTCACTCAACACGAACCACACAAAGCAACCTGGATTCATGATTTCTCTGTCAGTGGATTCCTTCTAAAGATGTTGAGGAAAAACAGGCAACTTGTTTCTTTCATTTGTTCCAAAATCACAAAACTCTCTGAATACCAATGTGGACCAGGGGAAGCTGGGCTTGGTCACTCTGTGCAGAGTAGCTTGTTGAATGAAAGCCTGAATATATATTTATAGGCCCTCTTGTCAAAGGTAGCAACCGTTACCAGGATGTGAGAGAGGACGGGCTTTTGCAATGACACATCAGGCATGTGGCATGAAAACAAAAATACAAAAAAGCCCTTCTTTCCTTCTCACGTGGAACAAGTAGTGTATATACGTGACCAACAAGCCTAACCAGACCAGTGTCAGGAGCTTGCAGAAATTCAACGGGAAACAGCACGACTGCAGAAAGGAAAAATCAAAAGCTTTCATTTCAAGCATCTCCATCTCTGAATGGCAATTTGTTGCCTCTCAAGGTTATCTCCTGTTGCCAGGGTGAGAAGTGAATAAAAACACCTCAGCACACAGAATCGAGGCCGTGTTGAGGATGGCTTGATTGATTCGCTTGAAAAAGAGACAGCCATATGCATTCGCGGGGAACACAGGAAACAAAAGCACCTGACAACTGCATGCGTGCACCTTCACCTCGGCTGACACGGGAGCAAATTCCACATCTGCTTGCACAGTTTCAACCCCCGTGTACCTGCCAGTCTCCCAGCGTTCTCCAATGAATCAGAGCATGAAATCACAGCAGGAAACCAGGCTTCCCCTGGCCAAAGTAGGGTTAGAAGGTTAGCACAGTGGGAGGTTCAAATGTGGCACTATTGTACTAAGACTACTAAATGTTCCTTTCAAAAAGAAAAAAAAAAGAAAAACACAAAATAGCTGGAAGCGAACCTCCGAGCCCTGGCCGAAGCCTGTTGTCGTAACCGTCCAGGAGCCCATCCAGGATTCTGGTGAAGACTGTGCTGTTGTCGTTGGTGCCCACCTCCTTCTCAGCTTCTGGGGATGACTGGCAGAGACTGAGAGAGGAAGGAAACAAAAGGAAGCAGACCTCAGAAACACAACACAACACAATTGTTGTAATTAATTGGCTTGCCGCATTAACGGCAGGCTTGTTGCGATTAATTATTAAACACAAGCGCTGCCTCAAATCTACCAGTAGAGGTAATTAAGGGTTTGACATGTGATCCAAATACAAACAAATGAGTTCTTCCTTTAAATACAGCGGGGGAGCGAGGCAGCATGGAGGATCTTTTTACAAAGAACGGCAAGCGGCGAAGAGAGGGAAACGCACAAAAGGTCATAAACGGGGTTTGATCGACTTGGATGAGAGTGGACTGCTGACAGATCTTCCTGCTTAAGCGGCATTAGAGCACAGAACAGCTCGGATATGCAATCAGTCAAAGGGAGCGGGATCTAAAAATTCGAAGTTGCTTTGAGTCACCTGCAAATAGAGGCGTAAAAATCTGTCACAATGCTTTTGACCGCAAAGCAAAACTGAACTTAGCCTTTTAAAAAAGTTCAAAACCTTCCAAAATGAACACAATATCGAAAAAATGTGAAGTAACAACTGCTATAGCGTTGTGTTCAAAATATGTATTTCGTTATAGAGATAAAAAGTTGTACTTGGGTTTAATACCAACTTCTACCATACGATAGTGTAGTGAGTCACTTAGTATCAGATTCTGTTCTGATTCTGAATTCAATAGTTGCTTACTTGGTAAATACAGGGCCAGTATTGCCAAAGCCGATACCAATAGCAATACTTTTAGCATATAAAAGCAGCTTATGTAGGGGATACTAGTAAATCTTGATTTATGAGATAGATAATAAATTTGTAAATTCTAACACATTTTAATGACCACTAGAGCAGTGTGATTTTTACTTTCCAAAATAAAGAGTTAACACAGAAAAACACACTTTTCAGCTTTTCATGTATTTTAAAACCAGGTTTTTTGGAGACCGGGAACATAAATGTGCCTGTCCCTGATGCACTTTCAGTCAACTTCTGTTCTATAGATCATAAAAAATAGACATGACAGTCAAGTCGCAATAAGAGATGGTTGAGGTATATTTTTCCATTTCCAAAAAGTAATTAATTTGACACAATTCAGTGGGTTAAATACTGAACTTAGAGAACAGAAGCAAAGTATCGATCCTATCCCACTACTATCGATCAGATACCAATACATGCGTTGGTATCATTCTATCGGTGTGCACATTGGTATTTACAAATGGCACAACCGCAAACATCTCAGCGTGCTGGCAGGTGTTGAGTAATTAGAAAAAGTACCTTTAGTGTCATGAATCCATTTACTTTTTGGGAAAAAAAGCTATATATAACTGTTAAACTTTATTATTATTATTATTATTATTATTATTATTATTATTATTATTAAATCTCTTTACCTGTTTTGACATCTGCAAAGAAGCAGGAGAGAAACGAGGAGCCTTGCCGTCACTTTACTGTTGAGAGCTACCACACACCCACCCAGAAGGAGACAAAGAACAGAATAAAAAGGGCATCACAGAATCAATAAATAACACAGAAACAACACTGAGGTCAAGGATTCCCCATAAGGCCAGACACGGGAAAAGTCTTCACCTCACTGCATACAGAGAGCATTACAGCAAACACTAAATCAAGCAGCGGGACAATCTCTGGTTCATTTGGCGGGGGATGAGGGGGGTGCAAGGTGCAACTATTTAATATTAAACAAGAATAACTAATTAATTTTTTGGTAAAAATTCCAATAAGGAAAGAAAGAAAAAAACAACTCGGCATGCTCAAAAACACCACATAGGCTGGTAAATAAAAGAGGCTCATAGAGAGGCATGTTTCCTGCAGTATCAGTCCCATTGTGTAAAAGCTTCCACTGCGTTCCAATTCAGCCTATTACAATAAACGGGCCACCCCCTATTATCCCATCCCTCTTCTCCACCTTTCCCTCACTCTCCCCATCACCGAAAAAAACCCATGAAACTCACACTTATTTGTCTCATCAGAAGGAAAAAACAGAGAGGTAACGGGAGGAAAAATAGGGGCTAACCTGCACGAGGATCCATGACCAGCAAGGTTTGGTTTTTGTTGCTTTCTTTCCAAACAGCGACAGGAGGCTTTGGGGTCTCCAGTCGGCGAAACTGGAAGATCGCGGGTCCAATCACTAAATTCCCGTGCTGGTCGGCTCTCTCTCCCCTCCTCCTTCTCTTTAGCTTCTTTCTGCTCTCTCTCTCTCTCTCTCTCTCTCTCTCTCTCTCTCTCTCTCCTTCAATCAGCGCTTCCCCATCAGCAGCTGTTGTAGTAGTCTGTCTGCTCTGCTCCTCCTATAGGCTTGACCGCCTCGCTTATTCTTTAGTGCCTGCTGCGCCGCGTTTCCCGCATCGCCTCCAGAGGTGTTGCAGCAGCAGCATCACACGGGGTGCCTCTTCGCTGGTGTCCACCGACCTCGGAGGAGACCGGATTCGCTCCACATTTTTCTTGTCTCTGTGCCCTTTCCTGTACCGCCTACTGCCGGTGCGAGAGAATGAAGTGCCGCAACAGAGGCTAATAATTACCAAATAGGTGCTCCCCATTGGTGGGCTGGAAGGAGGATGCGCAGGATTCCACATCATCCATTAATGAGGATGTGAAAGAAGCATGCAATATATGGGAGCTCAAACTACTTCCATGGACTTTTGCACCTGAAACGTCACACAGTAGCAGCACACTAATGAAATCCTTTAACCAGGATTTTAATTTGGCCTCTTTAGCTTTTGCTATTTCTTATGAAGAAGTGCCTGATTTCAGTAGTTTAGTCAATCTTTCTAAATAGCCTATTTGTTTGAACTACTATATGTAGCCATTAGCTAACAGCTGATCCTTGTAGGCTAGCTAATAGTAACAATTTTATACATGTATTTTTAGACTGCAATTTGGACTCTTAGCCTATTTTTGTTATGCTAGCTGTGTGTTATCAATACTTACAAATATTTCACTAAAACAGGTTAATTAATAACTTGTTACTATTGCAGAGATTGTTTTTTGGGATTTTTATTATCTGTATTGAAAAAGAATTTGTTTGTTGGTTGGATTTGTGCTACCTCCACTGTCCACTCTTTTAACCCTTTCATTTCATCCACCTATATGACTATTTAACAGTTTAAGTTGTGCCTTATAGTTAGTTCACTTGCTATCCCAACATATTTGTATTTATAGTTGCTGTAGCTATTCTGTTTATTATAGATAAAGCAAAAGAGACAAAGTTCTACTGGGTTTTGAAATAAAGTCAGGTTTTGAAAAATCAATAATTGGTTTATTAGGTTGGCCAGACAAGTAAAACAACATGATAAATGTGTATAATCACAGAAAGAGCTTTCATTGCTCATACTGTCCTGTAATTGTAAACTGTACAACTTTCATTACAGGGAGTGCAGAATTATTAGGCAAATGAGTATTTTGTCCACATCATCCTCTTCATGCATGTTGTCTTACTCCAAGCTGTATAGGCTCGAAAGCCTACTACCAATTAAGCATATTAGGTGATGTGCATCTCTGTAATGAGAAGGGGTGTGGTCTAATGACATCAACACCCTATATCAGGTGTGCATAATTATTAGGCAACGTCCTTTCCTTTGGCAAAATGGGTCAAAAGAAGGACTTGACAGGCTCAGAAAAGTCAAAAATAGTGAGATATCTTGCAGAGGGATGCAGCAGTCTCAAAATTGCAAAGCTTCTGAAGCGTGATCATCGAACAATCAAGCGTTTCATTCAAAATAGTCAACAGGGTCGCAAGAAGCGTGTGGAAAAACCAAGGCGCAAAATAACTGCCCATGAACTGAGAAAAGTCAAGCGTGCAGCTGCCAAGATGCCACTTGCCACCAGTTTGGCCATATTTCAGAGCTGCAACATCACTGGAGTGCCCAAAAGCACAAGGTGTGCAATACTCAGAGACATGGCCAAGGTAAGAAAGGCTGAAAGACGACCACCACTGAACAAGACACACAAGCTGAAACGTCAAGACTGGGCCAAGAAATATCTCAAGACTGAGTTTTTCTAAGGTTTTATGGACTGATGAAATGAGAGTGAGTCTTGATGGGCCAGATGGATGGGCCCGTGGCTGGATTGGTAAAGGGCAGAGAGCTCCAGTCCGACTCAGACGCCAGCAAGGTGGAGGTGGAGTACTGGTTTGGGCTGGTATCATCAAAGATGAGCTTGTGGGGCCTTTTCGGGTTGAGGATGGAGTCAAGCTCAACTCCCAGTCCTACTGCCAGTTTCTGGAAGACACCTTCTTCAAGCAGTGGTACAGGAAGAAGTCTGCATCCTTCAAGAAAAACATGATTTTCATGCAGGACAATGCTCCATCACACGCGTCCAAGTACTCCACAGCGTGGCTGGCAAGAAAGGGTATAAAAGAAGAAAAACTAATGACATGGCCTCCTTGTTCACCTGATCTGAACCCCATTGAGAACCTGTGGTCCATCATCAAATGTGAGATTTACAAGGAGGGAAAACAGTACACCTCTCTGAACAGTGTCTGGGAGGCTGTGGTTGCTGCTGCACGCAATGTTGATGGTGAACAGATCAAAACACTGACAGAATCCATGGATGGCAGGCTTTTGAGTGTCCTTGCAAAGAAAGGTGGCTATATTGGTCGCTGATTTGTTTTTGTTTTGTTTTTGAATGTCAGAAATGTATATTTGTGAATGTGGAGATGTTATATTGGTTTCACTGGTAAAAATAAATAATTGAAATGGGTATATATTTGTTTTTTGTTAAGTTGCCTAATAATTATGCACAGTAATAGTCACCTGCACACACAGATATCCCCCTAAAATAGCTAAAACTAAAAACAAACTAAAAACTACTTCCAAAACATTCAGCTTTGATATTAATGAGTTTTTTGGGTTCATTGAGAACATGGTTGTTGTTCAATAATAAAATTATTCCTCAAAAATACAACTTGCCTAATAATGCTGCACTCCCTGTAGACACTTCTTCACATTTGAGCTGTCCAGTTGACCGGACTGGAGTCTTTGCCTGGCCGATTCTGGCCCCCTGGCCTTATGTTTGACACTGTTTCCACTGTTCACCCATTCCAAGTTATAAAATGTGTCATTATTCGTGACAGTAACTATGAGTAACAAAGTGAAATTACTTGTGTGTCCATATGTGTGAAGAGTCTGCGACCCGCATGACAACACAGACTGGGGGCAAATCACTGTGAGAGAAACAGCATTCGGTCGGCTTGTTTAACCCTGAGCCACTAAAACAAGAGCTCGCAAGAAACACGTCAGAGTAGTTATCATCCTGACGATTGCCATAAGAGGGTAGCCGAGTTCCATGTTTCGTAGACGATAATTAGCTGGTAAACTTAACCTCCCTCTACTTTCTTGAATCCGTCTGGCGGTGCAGTCTGCGGACGGGAGCTGCAGCCAGAATACCCTCGAAGGGTGATTTCAGCACCGCGCCTGGTGCGAACAAGCTCGCGGAGTGTTGACCGTTTGGACGAGTGTGAATGAAAGTGATGGCGAAAAAAGCCCCCCCAAACTCACCACCACCTCTCTCTGTGGTAGGAAGATAAGGGTTGGGGGAGGTGTTGTGAGATGTTTTTTATCCTGGAGGGGGCTCCAGGGGGAAATCGACTGGCTTTCAATATTTTGCCCTGCAGGCATCCCACTGTTTCAGACCTCTGCGTTACTGCAGGCAATACTGGGTGGAATACGAGGCTATGCAGAGCACAGTCACACAACACAGACAGGCTCAAACACGCATAAGACACCGTGATGATAATAATAATAATGAATAATAAACTTATAACCACAATTAAATTCGGGGAAACATGAAGCTGCAAACGGGAGGAAAGAAGTTCATTTTCAGTGTCTTCCTGTTATTTTCTAATTAATGATGTCATCAACTTTCTTCTTTCAGGAATGCTGTTAACGGAAACAAGAAGCTGATCGCCATCTATGACACCAGGTATGAACTATCACAGCACGCGCATTCCTCATCCAGGCTCCTCCACTGGGTCTTGTGCAAGCGCGTCCGCGTGTGCAGGCGGTCCTAATTAGCCTGTTCACGAATTTTTGACCCCGACTCTCTAAATAATTTATGGTGCAGTCCACACATTTTAAATCAGACACAAAAGGGCCATCAACAGATAACAGGCCAATAAATCAACAGCTTCGATTAATGGTTCGATAAATGCTGCCTGTCCCCACTCCATATTGTTCAGGTCCCGCCATTTTTACAGGAAACCCAAGGGAAGGATGAAGATGGTGTGGGGTGCACTGTAAAAAAATGAGAATTTTAATAAGCGAGTTTGGCTTAGTGCTTTGTAATGTGGGTGTTTTTGAGAGTGGGAGAAGGGGTGGGGCAACGGCTTAATTAGTGTTCTAAAAATTATGTCCACTGATTACTGAGGTAATCGAGGAAGTGAAGATAAGTAATCAGTGGAAACAAGCTTAACTAAACAACATGTGTATTTTTACTTCAGTTCAATGTCTTTCAAATAGCCCAAATCACAACAAAAGTCACCTCAGTGTCCTTCATATTGTAAAGTAAAGACCCTATGTAATAGAGAGAAACCCCGACAAACCCCTCTTTGAGCAAGCACTTGGGGACAGTGGGAAGAAAAACTCCTTTCTAACAGGAAGAAACCTGTTAAAAAGGCAGATCCATTTAAAGTAGGCACAGCCGTGACAAAATGGAACCCCTACATTCTGTAGCAGAATCAACCATAATTTTTTTTTATCATTACTCAATGACTCTGAGTAAGTGCGACTGCCATATGGTTACAAGTCAGACACTTTATTTATTGCTGAATGCATACATAAACATGTAAACATAAAGTTGAATTATAACTTGCTCAACTGCCCCCCTGGCCCCCAGTTTTCAAGCAACTTGATGTTTATTTGTTAAATTTAAAAAAAAATATATATCTTTACCGCCCTCAAAAAACAAACAAACAAAAATACAAACAAAAAAAGAAACCGCAAATGCGCCCCTGCTGATAAATTCTAGGGCCAAAAATAGACACAAGGTTTATTAGCAGAAATAAGTGGATTTTAACAAAAGTCTGGTTTAAAATGCATTCCCTAAAAAAGAAAAGAAAAAGAGTTTAACAGCTCACCAAATATATAAGATGAAAAGCTTGAATTTGCAGATTCTACCTCAGCATTTTTTTTTTACAGTGTTTTAAGTGTTGGGGCTTCGCTTCTAATTTGAACAAGCCGAGTGCCTTCACCACCAGCGCCGCCACCAGCAGCAGCAGCAGCAGCAGCATCGCCCCCCTGTATGTTCTCTCCTCATCAATATGCGCTTTAGCTCCTGAATGTAAGAGCCTCTCGCACAGTCAGAGACGGCAAAAAGGAAAGCGGAGCCAATATTTATGACAGGGAGGCGATGTCAGCCCATATTTCACATCTGACTCCATCCACAGCGAGCTGCTGACTTTTCCGCGGCTCAGTCTACTTTCTTGCTTTTTTGGGGGGCAATCGATGGATTTACTCTGGATTTGAAGAGTGTCCGTCTCGGCTGTTGATTGCAGGGGGGTGAGCTCTCTGCTGTTGCTGCCTTCGTGCTTTACAATTACAAAAAGGAAAAGGGGGGATGTTTGCTTTGCACAAGCTTCGTCAATTTCGCGTCTTGTCCGCACTGGTTATCGGTTCGATTGTGTGTTGCGCAAAAAGGTCAGTGATCTTCTCATTATTTTCTTCTTCTTTCTTTTCTGAGAAG